GAACGAGAAGATGGTTTATAGGGAGTGCTGACCGCGCAGAGAATCTGAACGTGGATATCATACTTTTATGGAAATAAGGTAAACGCGTATCGGAGTCCCAGTCCAGAGTCATACATTATACCGGTCTTTAACATACCTCAAAACCATTTTTGCTTTGTAAAATTGAGTGAGGCGAGGGCTTCAAAATTTAAGGTGTTAATTTCGACTCTTCAACAACTTAGCATACTCACTTTCAGCTCACTGACCGTACTGTCGATCCGAAAACGGCGGGTGGAGTGAAACTGGTGCACGTTGCTTGTCACGGTAAGCTCGACGAATTCAGCCATCGCGATTTCACAAAGCTGCTTTCAACGGAACAGTCAGCAAATAAGGTCAGTACTTCTGAGCACTACCTCACGAACGTCTTGTCTACTGAAAACAATTAATCGGCTAAGCAAAGTTATTGTCTTGAAACATATAGTTATAAAAAGGCTCATGAAGAATTGCACACTAATATAATATAATGATATATTTACATGTAAAATATGCTAATTTTATACATCAAGTGACTGTGGTCCAACTGACTAGAAATGCTCCTGTTAACGTTTTGTTTTTGTTTTTAATTGTTAGCGTGGTTTAGTAATAGTTATATGATTTAGGCATTATTTTCTTTCAGCCACGCTAAAAGCATCATTCTTTGGTGACTTAGTTCAAGCAACAAACTTTCAGTGTATGAATTGCAAAGAACATAGTTAAGCCTGTGAAAAGTTACGATCATCGTTAAGCCAAACTAACAACAGAAGAGAGCTGAAATATGATTAACAAATTAGCAATAGAAATAGAGTTAATCCATAAATCACTTCCTTCATCCCACGAGCAGCGTTGCCCAGGTCGACAGCGTCGAACTCAGAACAGAGAGGTCCCGGATTCGAGCCCTTGTCGGTCATTTTCCTTTCTTCTTTCCTTCCTACTGATGTAGAAAAATTAGTACCACTCTGTGACAAGGAAACAAAAAACTACACGTTATGCCTGCCATATAACTGTAGATTTTGCCCTAAAAAGTGAAGCGCTCCTGGCTGCTAGCATGGAAATGGCCATCAGCGCCGCACCATAAGCTTCACAAAATGAAGTACCCCCACCAAATACCCTACCTCTCCCCCAAACTATGACATCATAAAGGAGATGGATATTCCAACGGTTACAAAGTTTCCTTTTTTTCTTTCAGCCCGCAGTTCATCATAAGGGTTGGTATTCTCTGGTTATGAGAACTGGCGGCCTACTTTTGGCATTTCAAGCGCTGCTTTAATGAGCTTTGCTCCGCCAAGTATTGCAAGCCATTCTTGTTTGCCATACTATTATTTCCAGCACTGTGGTTGATCTCCAGAACCGATGACAACATCATTGTTTTCTTAACTCCGAACCTATCTTCACGCCTTATGAAAATCTGTCGATTAACAACTATTTTAAGTTTCTACTTCTTCATCTTTCATCGCCGCTTCTCCTTTCCGGTCGCGGAGGCAGACGCGTCAGACAGTGCTTCCAACGTTCCTGATCTTGTGCCAGAGTCTGAACTTCGCCAGAAGGCAACTGGAGTCTGGAACAGACTTCTTCTATATATTTGCACCAGGTTAATCTTGGCCGTCCCCTGGGCCTTCTATAGGTCGGATTCGCAAGAAACTTTTTTAAGTTTTTAATTATTTAAATAAGAGCTTATTTTATCATAAGCTGCTCATAATTGCCAAATAAACAATGACTCATTCAAGGCCAGATTTCACGGCATATTACACCGCCTCTTGCTTCCAGTTGCCTTAGGTACCATTTAAGCATACCATAGCTCATTGAAATAAACAGTTTGTTAGCAGGTCACAGCTTCATGGTATTTTAGCACCCAATGAATTCATATTGTTTTGCATTGTTAGACACAAACTTGAAGTATGCACGTCGAACCCTTGAGGACTAATTTAAACTTGCGATAATCCCAATTGTTGTCCGAGTACAAATCGGGTCCTATTGATAGGTAAACACTGCAACCTGGTTGACTGCCAAGTATGAACAAAAACGGCAGAGTCTACCATTCTTTAAAGTGAACGCATTTGCCTAAGGTTCGAACCGGCGTGAAGGACAACTTGATTTTTAAACAACCTTATCATTTTATATCAGAATGGAAGGCTCTTTGGTTGATCCCTACCCTTCAAGCAGGCTGGTTGGCATGAGGCTCCTTGGCAACAGCAGGCTTCGAAGCTCTACACAGCACTGCATTTCAGGTCACTGCATTATTTAAATTCTCTCCTCTAGTCAGTCTAAATATCAGCTGTGAAACATCTCTGGTGCAGATCAAAGGTAAGCAATGAATGATGGGGATGAAAATAGACTGGCAACTATGGAAAAGACAGGGAATTCCGCGGATGCTTGACATTAACTTACTTATGCTGGCGATGAACAATAAAGAATATTACAGACATGAAAAAATGGTGTAGTGACCATTACCTAGTGACGTACGTCAGTGGCAGGCAACGGCTGAAGCGCTAGAACTACGGTTAGTCAATCGGTGCTGAACTGAGTCGACCTTGTGAAGATTTCTGAGCCGAGGGCATCAGAAGGAAGAAAGCTCTTGTCTGCAACCATGACAACGATCACTGAGTGTCTGGCTTGCCAGCCACTGCTGAAAGAAGTTATTTAGTAAATTCTTGAAACTTTTTCATCAAAATCAACTCAAAGAGTTTACGTAGCCAGAGTAGCCTGTACACCCTGCACCGAATAAATGTCCAGCAGACATATGGGCCAATAAACAAACGCTAAGCTTTACGATAGCACAGACAAGTTCAGAATCGAACAGGCGGTTCGAAAGTGTGATGCAGTGTTGAAATTATTCACAGCAGTTGTAGAAGGGGTTTTCCAGACACCCGACTGAAAAATTGAAAGCTAAAGAAAAACAGACACCAGTTAAGACACCTATGATTTGTGGATGATATTCTGGTACTATTAACGTTACCGAAAGAACACCGGTGAAGAATGCAACAGCTGAATGACGTCAACATGAAAGTAGGACGAAAATGAACCTAAAGAACACTCAGATCATGCTTAACAAACACGTACCTCGCGATATGTCTTGAAATCAGCTAACTTAGACCTAAAGACGAGTAAAACCATGTCTCTTTGAGAGGGGTCATTTCTGCGAGTGAGAATCGACTACAAGAAATCAACAGAAATATAAAAATGGCCTTTTTGGAAGACTGTTTCCTGTTTCTATCTAGGAAACTGCCCATGTGCTTTAAATGGAAGATTTTCTATCAGTATATGCTTCAAGTGCTAACCTATGAGTGACCTAAGGTAGATTCTGAGTCAGAAAGTATTCACAAACTAAGGACAACGCAGCAAAGCATGAAAACATGTATGTTGTGTAAAGTATTACTATAAACTATAACAAGTAAAATAGGAACATGGATGAATGCGTAATAGGAAAAACAACGTGTGACGTCACTGCCTAAGTGAAGAAGTAAAAGTGCCAATGGGAGAACATGTTACAACAAGAACCGACCGTCATCATTAAAGTGGAGAGATATTAGACTGGGTTCCAAAATTGAGTAATCAGACCGTAGAAAGTCCTCCAGATCAATGACACT